CAAGTGCCTCTGAAGAATGTAACTAGGCTAGGCAGATCATCAGCAATCATTCAAAGCTTCAAGCTAAAGTAATAGATTTAGTTTATCTTTCTAATATGTCTCTGAAATACAGACCAACCCTAAAAAATCCAGTTTCATTACAATGAGATGTTGAGAGTGATACCTGTTAATACTAACAATTGTTGGAGTTTTCTTTTATGAAAGCTGTCATTTCTCTGTCTTCATCCTGAGAGTTGATTGTGTCCAAAATGATTCTGGTCATTCCAAAAGTAAGGTTGTTTGTGCTCTGCTCATTTTAAGATACTTTCTCAGGCCCAATGAGCTTGGAATTGCACTTTCCATTTCAGATACTGTGAGAAATTTAACTTCTAAAGCTAGTTGAAGTAATTATGATTCAGTAAAAAGCTAAGCCAATTACCTCTTCTTAAGAACTGAACCTATTTTTTGCCACTAAATGAATTCAGTCTGTGGCACAACTGTTGGAAATACCTACCTGCCAAACTAACACCAGTCAGGGTCCCATTATGCTATTCTGGGAATTAAATTAAGCAATGAGAGTGAAAGGGAAACTGCATATAGAGAATTGTTTTTACGAGACTTTAAACACTGGTTTTATGCTAAGTGTGTCACACACCTTGCCTGGAGCAGGACAGAATGACATACAAATGTACTTCTTACCAATGTGTTTCCAGGCCCTGCCTCAAACAGTTTAATTCTACATTCCAGTGCAATGTATCACATCATGTGGCAAGTGCTATCTACTGCAAGTAATTATTTAGTGCATTATTCCATGGCATAATTCCCCTTTTTGTCTTTAAAAAATATTTTAAAATGCCATGCAGAGAATGAAAAAAAATCTAAAATTAAGGACACAATCAGGGTCTGAATAATAAACTTAAAGTTTCAGAACACATTTATGTAGCGGCCAAAGAGTTCCTTCAAGAAAATTTAGCTATAATTATTTCAATACACTCTGAGGACAATGAGCTTGGTATAGGAAGGAAGGACTCCATTCTGTATTAGTAAAAAAAAGTTGTGTCCTAAGCATGTGCAACAGTTCCATTTTTCGAAAATCTGGGGTATCTAAACAAGAATTGAAGACTTCTCTATTTAGAGATTTGCAAAAGCTTTTGGAATTCTAGGCATAGTCTCACCTCAGCACACACATTTTAAGATCCTTTGTTGCTGGTACATTGTACTACTCTCCTGCTTCCCTGAAGGACTCTGAGGGAGACTCAAGTGGTAAATATATGCCAGCAGCTCTTCTGTATGATTCTGCATTCTCAGAATGCTTTGTTTGTTTGTTTA